AACGAGTTCACACACCTGGAATTCCCCCGGAGAGTCCAGAGGAAGGAGGTGGGCAAGAGGATGCTCTACAGAGACTTCACCATGAACGGATGGTGAGTCTTACTCCACATTTTTATATTACCACTTCTTTAATTAAGCAGACAGATGGCAGACACCAGCATTACATATGTGTGTGTAATGACCTGTGTGTCACGCCTGCCAAATTATAGTGTAGAAGGAAAACTGCTAATGTTATGGGATGGCAAAATTCTCTCTCCACCCTATTAAATGACATGTGGCATTAAAAAATAAAAAAGGTTTATAATATTAAAAAAGGGGTATTCCATCATATTTCCATATCAACATCATTTTAATTATGAAGGATTGTCACACTCACCCTGTGCAAACTGTTTGCACCATAATGTCTAATATGTCTTAAGATGTGGGCTTTCGCCAGAGGGGAGGTCTAACAAGAAGGGATAATATCAAGTTGCTCTACGGGAAGTGTGTGTTTGTTGAAGCTTGTCCCAAACCACAGACTTAACGCAAGGATAACTAACTAGGGCTACAAGATTTTGAAAAAAAAAAATCAAAATTGCGATTATATTAATGATATTGCAACTGCGATACCATGTGTGATATTGGAGGGAATGCAACATTATCGTTGAAAAATATCAGAAAATGATTGTGAACAAGGATTTGAACCAAACAAGGACTATGTAATTCACACTAGAATACCATTAGGACAGGACTCCTCTACAGCTCCACAATACTTCATTCAATATTTTGTACCAAATAACACACTGCAAATTGGATATTGCACTAGTCCATATTGCAATTTGAATCAAATTGTTATAAAATAGGCAGCCCTATAACTTAGTCATTTAGATGTTTTGTTTGTATCAACTACTTTAAAGAAGGTCCTACAATTGAATGAGTGGCAAAGCAAATCGGTGACAAAAAATCGGTCTTTGTCTGATCTTCCCAAAGCCCAAAATGAAAAATGGGATCGGAAAGAGCCCTCTCAATCAAAACAATCTGAAAAAGATTGTGTGAGTTGATGGTGCTGCAGCCTCTCAGTACCTCTCTCCCCTCCCTCACTGCTGCGGACTCTCGCCATACAGCAGCTAATGAGGGAGCAGCAGCCCGGTGTAATGATACAGCAGACAGTGTGTGAGTGTGAGTGTGAGTGTGAGTGTGAGTGTGTGTAGCGTTCTGTGGGCAGCGCGGCACCCTGCTGTGTGGCTGAGCCAGTAATGATGTGCTGCTCTCACTCACTGGGCCACGTACAGCACTGTGTGTATCCTGATGTATATTTCACTGTAAGAACACACTCAGGAGCACAGTGTGCAGCCAGGGTGTGCCGACCAATGCTGTGTTTTCTTTCCCACATCTCAGAAGGTCTGGGTATAGCTTGATCTTTTTCAATTTGTCCGGGTCTCAAATTAAGGCAGCTGGAGAATCAATTTGAGAAAGCCAAATGAAAAGACTCTGCTTTGGCTGCTGTTCTTTGTTTACAGTAAAAGCTTCTTCTAATGTGCCTCAAAGCAGTATTCATAAGGAGCTCAGGGCCAATGATGTTTAGAGCCAAACTAAAATTCAAAAGACTCTGGTGTCCAACAAACAGTAAAACACAAAGATGTTTAGATAAGGTTTCCCGTTGATCCTTAAACATTCTCATAAGGTTGAATTTAATTCATTAATCTAAGAAAAATGCCCTAATTCTCATACAAAAACTTCAAGCACTTAAAACATTCTAAATTATACTTATGCATATAATTAATAGTTAAAAATGCTTATCTTTTTTTTTGTAATTTGTGCTGATCATCCCTTAAAGGTGGGGTAGGTAATTTTGGAGAAACCAGCTCGAGTGCGGTATAATTTGAAAATACACAGCCGGAAAAAATCTGCCACTTCCTTACAGAGCCCCTCCTCCAACACACACGAACGCGCACATGACCAATGAGGGCACGAGATAAGTTTGTGCACAGATGGAAGGCTGACAGGCAGGTAGGCCATCCAGTTACTTTAGCCGGGCCAGCTAAAATGATTGGTCGTACTTTTTACAGTACTACGGCTTCCACAGATGACATTTTTTATGGATTTTTTGTCAAAGCACTTAAGATATTGATTGCTATCGGGATGTTAAAAGCATTCCATGGAATATAACAAAAAGTGTATCTCGAGCCGGTTTCTCAAACTTACCTACCCCACCTTTAAATACATTGTTTATCCAATACTTAAATATATATTTATTTCTATGTCCCCTTTGAGAAGCTCGATGACATTTGTTGCCCTTAAATGTGCTTTTTGTCGGATGCTTATTGAAAAGTTAGTCTTAAATCCTCCCATTTAAGGAGCCGAGACCAGGGAATAAATGGGAGCAGCACAAATCAAATTTTTTGAGGAAGACAAGTGATGCGCACTAACAGATGGAGTAAACTCTGGTCAGATGTGAAGCCGTTTGAAGTTTCCGATGTTCTCCACTGACTGACGCTAAGTCTAATGCATCCTGTTTAATACATCATCACCTATGAAGATGTTCAGTCTGACATCAAAGCAGTGCGTTTCCAGATCTTCTGCTTCCATTTGCGCACTTCTAATTTATTTTTGGTGTTGTTTGCTTGTGTACTCTAAGATCCCCTCCCCCTCACTTTCTCTTGCTAAATGTTTTAGCAGCGAAAACACTTATTGTTATCGCCCTCTGGAGAGGCAGCAATGAGACAGAATCAAAGGCTAGCAGAAGGATGGCAGATGTTTCCGGCCTACAGTGTGTTTACTAACAGGGGCTGAGCGAGAGCAAGCACAAATGTTAGGAAAAAAATAAATGAATGTTTGTTTAGTGCTAAATGGAACATGAAACCTTAAAAATGTAAAAGGTTTAGAGCATTAAAGGGGTATTCCACCATAGTTTCACATCTAGGTCCTTTAAAGGGGACCTATCATGCAAAATGCACTTTGTGATGTCTTTTATACATAAATATGTGTCCCCGGTGCGTCGGGGAACTCACGCAGCGTCAGAAAATAAAACCCTCTCTTTTCCTCCGAACCCACATATTTTAAAAACGGGGGCACAACGAGCGGATACAGATTTGCTGCCGATCTGAAGTCAAATCGGCGGCGGACCCACAGAAAATTGCTATCAGAAACAATGCCTGACGTGTTTTGGACGTAATCTCGTCTTTGTTTACATTAGCAAGCCTCGCTAACACTCAGAGCTAACCTGTACTGGAGAGCACATGTGTTTAAAAAGCAGGAAATAAAAAAAGGAACTCACCTTGTGATAAACCCGCAAGAGAAAAAGCATTTGAGCTCCATACTGTTTCAGAAATAATCCTTGATGTGGTTTAGAACAGGGTGGCGTTTTATCACAGGAGAATTTAACTTTATCTCTGGTAGAATTCTGATCAGGCATTAGCTCCGCCTCCTTTTTTTTTTTCAAGCTAAGGACCCAAAATCCGCGTTTTTCTAACAGGGCTGCAAAAGAGGGGTATGAGCAGTATGAGGCATGGCTACAATGGGTGATCTGTTTGGTATTTGAAGCAAAAACCTTCACAGACATGTTTTGTATAGGTATGGCCCTACAATATATTTTTCCAATATAGCATAATAGGTCCACTTTAAATTATCTTTAATAGCTGCACTCAACCTGTGCAAAACGGTTTAATCAGTCGGATATGAATGTAATAAATAGGAAAAAACATAGTGATGTCATCATGGTTCTCAGTTTGATTGGAGAAAACCAAAGTCTTAAAGATTTCTTAAAATGTGAGCATTGAAAGGGTGCCCATTTTGCTTTTCTGGTCAGCAAAAGTCTAAAATCCCAAAGTTCCCTCCAGAGGAATTTTTCGTCCTCTTTGAGAGCTTGTCAAATTTGAACATAATTAAAAAAATATTCTCAATCAATCTTTAATTAATTAACGCCAATCTTGTACTGACGGCAAGACAAAGAACATAATGTGATATAATTGTCTTTTTCTCAAACACAGGGCATACAAGACCATAGAGGAGGAAGATCTCAAGTTCCCACTGATTTATGGTGAGGGAAAAAGGGAAGAGTCTGTCTGTCTACAAGTTCTGTACATCTGCTCTTGAATTTTAGAACTGCAGAAATGAAAAGAAAAATCACATGCTCCAACACACACACACACACACACACACACACACACACACACACACACACACACACACACACACACACACACACACACACACACACACACACACACCTCCCAGAGAGTGGTTGAACACTCGGTCTCTGATGTGTGAGTACCACACTGAGTCTGTGTCAACGTGCACTCTCACAAAAAGAGAGAGAAGACAGTCCATCTGTTCCACTCCAGTTGCTACATCTCACACACAGACATTCGTACGGACACACACCACTGGGGAGACGACAGTCAGTTAATCCCCACTGGGATGAGATAAGAAGAAGACGAAAAAGAAAACACTACCAAATAAATCCTACGAAACGTGCATTTTTTTGTAGTTTGTATCATATTTTCGATCAATTTCGTTTCATCAAAGAGACGTAGCTTGTGTGTTCATCAGAAAGGCAAACAGCATCCGACAACCTCACTGCACCATGTTATCTGAAGGAAAGCTGATGAATTTAAAGAACGGACTTAACAAGTTTAAACAGCGAACTAAAAGATTGGAAGACTGGGAAATAAATGTGGTAATTAACAAAGAATAGTAACATTTCTTTGAGTTTCAGTTACACCACCATTTATGGAGCAGTTTTTCTGATTCTGATACCCATTGCAACATGCGCTCCTGTGAGCAATCCCCAGCTCCTTCACCAACATATGGTGAATATTCTGACCGGGAGGAAACAGAGTAACACTGCCATGCTGTCACTGTCACTCAATATGGGAACATCCATATGTTCATTAATGACTCCCTGACAACCGCATTCTGACAGGATGAAAAGCAGAAACGTTTATTAGAAACCTGAAGTTAACCACTTTATGTCTTGCAGGCTCGAGTGCTGGCTACCATCGGTGTGACCCGCGGGCTCGGGGACCATGACCTCAAGGTTCATGACTCCAACATCTACATCAAACCCTTCCTGTCCTGTTGTCCTGAGGTAAGAGACGCCAGTCAAAAGTGCTCTGAGAATGTCACTTTATGTCCGGTTAGATTCTAGTGTGGTCCTTATTTTTCACTACCAACAACAACACATGGACTGTAGCTACAGGGCCAGTTTGTTTACTTATTCCCTATAGCAGCCTGCCAGCTGTCAATCACACACCTTCTGTACACACCTCTGCAGCCAGCTGACATGAAGGATTAACTCATTCGGGGAATAGTATTTCCTTTACTATTCACAAAACATTTCCAACTCATTTCACTCAGACTGTGGTTGTTTCCTGTAGCGGGTATACCGTTACAGTCTTAATCATCCAAATTCTGAACACCTCTAATTAGTTGTAAATGTTTCTCTTACCTCCACTCACCCTGCCAGCCCCTTCCTGACCTTGTTTTGTCTAATTTATAGCCTATATAAAAGATAAGTCGTCACATGACCCACACTGCGTCTGTGATATCTGCACCAAAAGGTCCTCTGCTGCAGCAGAACTTCAGCTCACCTGTCTGCCTGTCTGCCGCCGCTTTCAAAGCTTTCATCTCCTGGTGTACTTGGTCTTATAGTGTTTTGCATTTCCCCTCCCAGAGCTCTGCGCTTGATCTTTAATTCATTAAAAACCAGAGTTCATACCAGGTTCACTCAGAAGTCTGAACTCCCAGCACTATGTCTGTGTCTCTTTTATTCTCTCTCCCAAACACGACTCTCACCCCTCACCAGAGTCTCTTAAGAAACTTCTCCAGATGCTCTCAGATAATGAAGACTGCGTTGAATTTATTATGACAGGGAATATGGATCGGGCAGTATAGATTTCAGTATGGCTGAGAGACTTGAGCTACTTTAGCTGAGTGAGTCTCAGCTTATGAGGGTTTTACCATAACTCAATGTTCTGTGTGCGTGCAGGTTAAGGTGTACGACCTGGCGCAGTGTGAACACGGGGCCGATGATGTTCTGGTGATGGCAACCGACGGCCTCTGGGACGTCCTCTCCAACCAGGAAGTAGCCGAATCCGTCACCACATTCCTCGCCAACTGTGACCCCGATGACCTCCACAGGTCTCAGTTTGCCTTTTAACAAATTCTTCTTATTTTTTTACATCTCTTTCGTGACAGGCTTTGTTGATTTCATTCTGTAAACCTTCATCAGTTGTCAACTATTTGCGTCGTGTTATATTTGCTAGTCTGTATAAAGTATAAATAATTGTTTAAATCACAATTCAGTGTTAGGGCCCTACAGTTTATGCTGAGGATTACAGCCTTTTGTTATTTTCTCTCCAGGTATACAATGGCAGCACAGGACCTGGTGATGCGAGCGCGGGGGGTGCTGAGGGACCGAGGCTGGAGGATCACCAACGAGCGCCTCGGCTCCGGAGACGACATCTCGGCCTTCATCATCCCGCTGATGTACGGCAACCATCAGCCCTGAGGAGCCTCGCCGAGGGGCTCTTAAAGCAACAGGGTGATTTGAACTGCCCTGTTCTGTTTCCTCAGTGCCGTTTGAACACTTATTTTATTCTTTAGACGAAGGGTATCCTAAAATGTGGATATTTGGGTGTGTTGGTGTTTCATATCTCTGTGGAAGTTCCGAATTGGTCGGTCACACAATTTGGCTGTTCAGGTTCGCTCAAAAGTCTAAAATACAAGAACATTTAGACACATTCTAATTGATTTGAGTTGACAAAAGTAATGCAGGAAACCTCGTGGCTGCCACTGACCTTCTGCAGAGATGTGAAAGCCAAGAGGACGAACGCTCTTCCAAAGTGAAGAAAATACCTCTTTTCTTTCTGGCCCCTCTTCTCCCTTCTCTTTTAGTCCTCTTCTGTACAGTCAACTTGTTTGTAAAGAAAAAGAAACCTCCTTGTCGCGACCATGGTCAGCTGCGTTTCTGTTTCGCCACAGTGTGGCTGAGAAGGATTCACACCTGAAGAGCTGCTTCCAGATTGCTTTTCAGAGTCCCATCACGGGGAGTGATGGGATTTTTGCAAAGCTGCATCGCTGTTTCCATCAGAGCATTAGTAAGAGCTCACAGAGGCAGGAAATCTTCGGTCACATTGGAAGTTGGGGGGGGAACTGACAGTTCATGAAATATCCATGCATCAACTCTTAAGAAAATACTAATTTGCTGAGTGTAAGATGAGATCAGTGATACTGTACCACTCTGAAAGAAAGTGGTGTCAGTGATCTCATCTAACTCGGCAAGAAAGTGAATAAGTTACTTTTCAGAATGTCAACCCATTCCATAACTCCGTAAACATTTTATACACTTTACACTAGGGATGGGCAATATGACCATTTATCACATTGCTTAGTAGAATACTCGATTCTGATTGGTCATTTCAGAGGTTCCACTTCACGTCGGGCTTCATGATGTGATATTTATATTATTATCGCCCAGCCCTACTGTACACTGACACATTTGGAATTGATGGAAATCAAGGTTGTTTTGTGTGAAAGTGACATTAGATAAGGACTTGTACATCAGTATGATTGCACTTTAGGCTGACCCACATCATTAACCCAGCAGCCGTGAAATATTCCCTGCAACAGGGAGGATTTAATTCATTCATAATTGATATAAAAACAATCAGAGTCAATGGGAAAAGCAGTTTGACAGAGGAAAAAACAAAGTTAACTTTTGCTTTGACATGTTTGCATGTTTATAAAGCTTTAGATGATTGATACAGATCCCATTAGTCTTCAGAGGGGGGGGGGGGTGGGGGGTTGACGCAAGATTGGATGTAGGGATTTACTGTGACAGTGCATGCAGTGACATATTATAGGCCTGGGAATATGAGCGACGGTTGCAATGGTTTACACTGCTGTTTGTTTTTATACCGACCTGAATTTGTATTTCTGTAATGTTAGTGATAATGTTTATAGTTTGTAAATGTGCCAAAGACCATGCTATATATTAAAGGATGTTGTTTCTTTCGAGTTTTTGACGTCCGAGACATGTAGCATAAGAGCTTAGGGTATAAGTCAATGGGAAGGAAGGGAATTAAAGGAAACTAAAATGCAAATAGACAGACAGAAAACCTCTTGTTGATTAGACTTGAGGAAAAGAGGACCATGAAGAGTTCAGCTGTCTGGAAACAGTGCCACGTCCTCACTAAAAACTGATGTGCATGTGTATTTTTTCCTTCCCTACATTTATATTCTGCGTTCATACGAGCTACACTCCTCTTCCAGCCTCTCTGGGTTGAGATGTAGTTTAGGAGAAGTAGTCTGGGGGAAGAAGAAACTTCAGAGGATCGATATAAAGTGGTCATCATTTCTGAAAAGTTTCATTCCAGTCTGGGAACAATCGACTGCATAATATTAAAACAAACCGCATGTTTTTAAGTCCTTGACAGACAAAATCATGAATTTTATGATTTATTTCCCCTCAATAGAGGATATTTAGAGTTTTGGAGTAGCACTGGTTTACTTTAGTCTTGACAGTAAAGTGAGAAAATGTCTCTTTTTTTCATAAAACGGGGCATACGAGCGATTGACTGAATCCAAAAACATAAAAAGAATGAGGAATTTAATATTTGGGATATTGGGCCCTATTTAAACAATCGAAAGCACAAGTGCATTAGAGCGTGTCAAACTCGTTGTGCTAGTTAAACAGCGCATAATCTCAGTGCAAAGTATGAAGCTAATTGGGTGTTTTTAGTTTCTTATTCTATCAAAATGGTGTGTTTTGGCCTAAACATGAATAAGACCAATCTCATATGCCCTTTAAATAGAGGTGAATATTGTGCCATTAACCTAAGACCAACTTGATGTTCGTGCCATCGCTTCAAAATGGCAATGCGTCTCTGACTGCACTTTAGGTGGCCATTGGCAAACAGATGGGCACAAGCACATTTGCAACTTCGATAACTGGCCCTGTGCGTGAAAAGACAACTGGGTTGGACTCACAGTAGCACTTAGCTATATGCTAATTTGCTGTTAGATAGGGCCCTTACACTTTCCTTGTTTTTTCCAAGAATGTCTAAAAGAGATCTCTACTTCAACAGGATATGTTGCCAATGTGTAGCATGGGCTTCTATCATCTTAGCTTGGACTTTTTTCTAGTTGATAGTATCGACATTCCTCTAAGCTAGCTGTCATTTGTATTGCTCTTTTTATAAGTGATACTGGAGCATTTTTCTCCTGTACATTCCATGAAAGAAATATTTTATTTAATAAAAAGCGGTGTTGCTAATAACATCATGATTTGCTGTTGGCATCTATAAAAATGACGCGGATACATAGTTTAAAAGAAATCTTGACCTCTATTTAATTTTATTGAATGTGTTTCTTCTTACTGTGTTTAATCTGTGATGCTGCCACCTTATGTTTTAGCACGTGTCCCAGTTCAACAGATGCGGTTTCAAACAACCAGATTGAATGTTTTGAACTGAAAAACATGTTACGATAATGTCTGAATGTCGCATCAGAATCTATGTGTTGAATGTTATCCATATACCGGTCATTAAGCCTTTTTTCTCTTAGATGAATGTCAAATAATTTTATTCTTTGTCATCCCTGCTGTGCCACCCCAACTTGCTGCACCATCTTAACTCAGGTTCAATATCATGCGTAGTATAAGTGGAAAGGACGTACAGAGGGACTTTCTAAAGATGGGGAGTCCACCAGGGCGCATATTGGTGCCACTACATTTGTGAATCCATTGATGATGTTAGCCCCTTATACAATTTGTTCAGCCCTATTGAAGGTTTTCCTGCTTTTGAAGTTGCGTATCTGTGTAAATTAGTCACTGCTGTTTGTTTGTTTCTCATTAGACTATAAAGACTATAAAAAGTATTAGTAAAGGAAACTTTGCAGGGCTGGAAGGTTTAATCTGTAGCAAGACGATGTTTGAAGGCCAGTAAGGATCATTTTTAATGTGAACGTTTGTGCTACCCTCAACCTCGTTTGTGAATGTGAAATTGTACATTTTGTAACAAAAGATTACTTATGAAGTCAAAAAGAAATATTTTTAATGTTTCCTTTGTGCAAAAGCAATGTTTTACCTTCAGTGTTTCTTTTCCAAAAAAGAAAATAAATGTTAAAGAAAAATGTATGAAGTGTAGTTTGTGTCGTTGATTCAGTTTTCTTTTTGTTTGCTGTCCAAATTAGTTCGAAGACCAAATCAATCTGAAAGAGTGAGAAACAAGATACGTGCCAGAAGAGCTAATCAATATTGTTGCTGTTTTCTATTCACTGGGTTCTCATTGTGTGACAAACAAAAACAAATGGGGCAACGGGCCTTCAAAAGACTGGTTGAGACTTTGTGATTTGACTGGCACAGGATTCATTTTAATGGAACTAAGTGGCTCACTGACAGACATGGTCGAGTAATGCAGACTCTCTAAATGCACACAATAATATTGACGCAATCTTTTAATGATGAGGTTAACCCGGGTAAAGCCATTATCCAAAGGGATTTCCTGGATCGCATCTAAATTGATCCCAGAAGAAAACAAAGAGAAACATTATGAATTGTCTCCGTTGGGTTGCATGGTACTAGTAATAACTGGTACAATTCAAATGATTTATTTCATTTGCTATAACCTGTGATAAGTTCCTTCATCCAAAGCCATGTGCCTCTACAAATTAGTTAAGCTTATAAGTGAGGGACAATATTGATAATATATAAAGTTAAAACCAAATTGCATAATTAGCTAAATGGCTATTTCTTTTATCGGTAAGTCTTTCGAAATGATTGGATAACTTGTGACTTTCAAATAGCATCATTTATTTAGTAGGTGCAGCTGCCACTATGTACTTTGGCATGAAGTATGCATACTATTGTGACTACTACTTCATTCTAACATGGCCACTAGAACTCTGACCCTCTTGCTCATAAGTCTGCTGTGCAAAGGATGTTGGGGTCAATCCTCAACTTCCTGTACTCTTCCCTCTAACATATTTAAAACAGTCTAATCATTTCATTCAGTGCGAGATTCCATAAATTGTTATACTATGTGACTATTTAAATGCCATTTTCTTAATGCCTTTCATTTTTGTAAAGCACTTTGAATTGCCTTGTGTTGAAAGGTGCTATATAAATAAACTTGCGCTTGCCTTACCGGCCAAATCGAAAATAGAAGAGTTTAAAAGCACATTGTTTTGGACATTATTACTCGAGTTATATTTAATGTATTCTTATGCAACTGTGAAAAACTTCATTTCCCCAAGGGATAATGTAAGTAATCGGATTGATGATACATTCCAAAATAAGCCTGGATAAAAAAAAATAATAATAATAATACCACTTCCTTTGACTTAAGGAAACACTGAATTGAGTTGGATAATATATTCTTCTTCTCTTCTTTTTTTAAGTTGGACAAAAAGATCAAACCCACGTGATGCATACCATAAAAAATCACTTTATTTTAACATTTTAACATCCATGTCAATCCACACCATTTAAGCATAGCTTTCATTATCCAAGTTCACACGTTCTGTGGCACGGTTTCACATGAGACGTGATTATTAAGAAGGCATACAAGTCTCTCTTTAGTTTATTCTTTTTACCAAAACACATTGGTCTAAGTGATTCGCGTTGGTCCGGTTTCTCTGTCGTTAGTCACCAGCGCCAGCAAGGCAGTAGATTGCGCAGTCATCTCCACAAGGGGTAATATAACAACCCGACCAACAGCACAAACTACTACCTTCAACCAGCGCATGGCCCCCGGTGCTCTCTGCCTCCTCTTTTGTCCTCTTCGCTCCACTTTCAGTCAGTGTCGCTGTGCGTAAAGCGCACGGGGGAAAAAATGGCGTGCGCGCAGAAACGTGGTCCGCAATAAACCGAGACAAAAAACCCCACCCAAGGAAAGAAAAAAAAAACACCTTCTGTACCTTTCCCTCATTTCCTCCACCCGCTGCTCTCCTGAGATGACCTCCATGAAAATGACATATGGCGGGTCAGGATGGCGGGGCTCTCCGTGGATTTCCTGGGCGGGCACATGCCACATGCACGGCTTAAAACACCACTAAAAGATTGTGGCGTTATCAATGTTTAAATGTGGACATTAAAATACGTCCGCATATTGTCAATGAGCCAAACGATGACTAAAATGCACGATCAGTAGGAAACAATCAGCATTGCAGACATCCTATATATATATTACACGTGTAAAGCACCATAAACAAAACGTGGGTTAAGTATTCAGAACGCAAACATGATTTGTATAGGCATTGTCGTGCAGAATTAAGACACGATATAAGAAGTAGTATTACCAATAAGTCGAATAACTAACTGCATTCTGTATAAATATTACCGGGAATGTGTTGAAAATCGAGAAAATTAAAAAAAATCCACCTCGTCTCCAGCCCCTCGCCCTTGCAGCTTGAACTGCAGCAGACTGTTTTATAATCTATTGTTGTCTGTTTCCGTCTCTGCGTCCTTAGAGGGAAGTTGTCCCGTGTCCAAACCATGCTCGGTTCAAAAGACCACAAATGTACGAATCCCATCGTAGAGAAACACGATTTTTTTTATGTCTTTTCTCCCCCGTAAATGCCGCATGTCAGGTAGGTGTGGAAAAATGAAGTGGATTTGGCAGAGCAGCGTGGATAAAATTCGCGGGGAACGTCAGGAATGCGTGTGGGCACGAGCGGAGATCAGAGGAAACGAAGAGGTCTCACTCTGACGGATTTTCTCAAACACCAGCAGACGGGAGAAACAGTCAAAGTGCACCATAGGATGGTTTGCATTCAAAACAGCAACTAGGTTTCTTGACAGGGCAGGTTAAGGGAGTAAGTAATCAGGATACTGACTTTACTCATCTTCAAAACACTGACCAACACTCGCCTTTTTACGTGCTTTTAATGTGGGTTATCCATGCCGTGTCCTTGTGATAAATATGGTTTTATTGCTAGATTTTAATTAGACTACCCCTGCCCTGTAAAGCGTCTTTGAGTACCTGATAGAAGCGCTTGATAAATAAAATGTTTTATGATTATACAAACATGCTGACTGTAATCTCTTACAGTTGTCTACAAAAAAAAATTTGAATCAGATTACTGGTACGTAAAGGAATAATATTTGTTTTGGCCTGACATTCAGGTTTCTTATATAATACACTTAACATACAGATAACATTACTTTTTTAATATGATAGCCTACCTAGTTTAGGTTACTGGATTACATTTTTCAATGATTAGTAATTGTAACAGAATATATGTTTCTAAAGTACCTCCAACCCTGTCCAGTGGGAGCTTGTTATGAACTAGTGCCCTAACTCTTAAGACATTTTGCAGCATTAGGCACCATTTCCATATCATGACAACTCTCATTATCAAGCAGCAGATTCACCCAAATGATGAAAAGGTAAGTTACATGTGTGGGACCCTACCTTCTTTTTCTGCCTTTTTTCCCACAATAGGTCTTGCACTGAACACAATGTGACTTGAACACGGTAGGAAAGCACAGGTGTGAATAATTGAACTAACGATGCTCACTGTCACTCACTGGAGGACTCCAACAGAGCCATCGTTAGGGTGATCAGTAACACCTGTGCTACAGTCCTACTGTGTGCTGTGTTTGTAACAAAGGGCAAGATGAGGAGTCACGTGTACTGTAACTGCATGTCTAATTAAAATCAGACAATCTAAAAGGTATTGGTAATTCTGAGCAGTTTTAAACATATAGTTGCAATTTCACTTAAAAGATCTTGCAAAAAAATATATGTATTAGGTTGTTTTTATAAATTGTGTCTTATTTAATTTATATTTATATATATTTATGTTTTATTTTTTCTAAAAAACATTAAATATATTCTTAAAATATTTTATATTTATCCTGTGGAAGTGTCAGTGAGTGACTGAGTAAAATATTTCTTACAAAAATGTGTTATATAACAAAAATATATATTTGTGTATTTATTTTCATTTTAATAATATATATTATATATAATAATATATTTAAAAAATGTATTCATTTATTTCTCTAAAACATTAATTTAATATATGAAAAGCAGTTTTCTACCTAAATGATATGTAATAATGGTAATACATTTACTATATGCATTTATTACGTAATAGAATCTTTATGTAATAAATTCATATAATACAATTTATAAATAGCATTTGGGTTTTTGGTTAATGAATCTTTCACTGTACTTGGTTACCGTTTTGTCCTCGGGAGTGAACCTCTGTCCTGCACACACACGCTCCCCTCTCCGCCCTCCTATTGGTCCGGAGGAAGCGCCCCTGCTCCGGGGAACCTCCCAGCTGAGAGCGGGCAGAGAACCCGTCAGAACCAGAACCCGGAGAGAACACCGTGTTCCTCCGCACAGATCCGCCTGCAGCTGCTGCACACACTGGGGAAGAGGGTGAAGGGCTTACTCTTTCATTACTAACATGAAAATCAACAACTGAGACATGATCCAGAGGGCTGAAAGAAGCTAAAACCTCAAAAGGGAAATGATGTAAGCAAGTGCAAGAATTCTTACTGCTGTGAACAAGACTTCTACCTGCTTTTGATCATGATGAAAAAAACATTTTACCTTTAAACTTTGTTACCGTTAGCGGCAACCTTTTCTTTCACCAGTTGAGAACTGAACGTTTGATTATTTGTGAAAATACTTCAGAGACAGTGATGGGAGCCTAGAAGGAAAATGACACACACTCACACCTCAGTCAGGCACTGCAGTGCAGAGTGAAGAAAACCAAAGGACCCACATGAAGCTTTACACAACTTTATTTGAAGATTGTGTATAAATACACATGCACATTTCAATGTAAACCCAAGTGAACTCAAGTGCAGCCAACCTGGAAACCCGTTATGTCGTCATGCAAGGATGTCTGGATACTTTTTCATACAAAAAAACAGTCCCCATAACAACAGAACCATCCTTTTTCTTAAAAAATATCCCCTCCTGACGAGAGCACAGGCTAGACTTTGCAAACTGGTGTGTATGCGTGGACACACACGAGTCACGGTTCCCCCAACGACAGTTCAGGTCTTTCCGAGCTTTAAATATATTGTCTTTTTATTATTAAATGCTTACATATAAATAAATAAACTTTATCAAATGTGCACTCACAGAGTGAACTCTTATGTACAATATTGTATAATAGCGATCAAATCTCACACAGTCAGGATGGGATTGGGGGGGTGAGTCGTCCAAAAAGCACGGAGATACTCAGAAAGGCCTGGTACACGTCTGATATTCTGCGGCGACAGCAGGTGTTTACACTGGAGCGACAAAAAGAAAACACTCCACCATGGAGAATAGTTTATCACATCGATGGAGGAATATCCCGCCTTTACCGATCATGATCCCGGAAGCTCAGAGGCCTTTTAGGCAGACTCACCCCACAGATTTCAGATTTGTCCACCTCCCTTTCTCCCTCAAAGCTCAGGACCACAGAGAAGCATTGTGTCCCCCTCTGCAAAGGGACGCATTCAGCAGAACCCATGATTTCATACAGCTAATATCAAAGGCGATCACATTCAACCAAACCAAGAGGGGAAAAAATGACAAATCTGGCCCTGTAGATAATCAAAAAGGCATCAAATGCATTACATCTGGTCATTTCATCATTTCATTCAGCATACATTCTGGCCCTCTTGTGGGTTTCAAGAAGCAGCGTGAGATGACGTTATGGAGCGGACATTCGAGTGTGAGGGGATGGTGATGTGCAAAGTAAAAGGCTACCGGTCTGAGATTAAGAGTTAAGGCCGAGGTGATCCCAACAAGAGATGATCCATCTGATGTGAGTGGAATCACTGATGTTTCCTAATCTCACAGCGCCTCCGAGATGAAGAGAGCAGAGGCGTGGTAAAGCTTCAAAACAACACCTGGGGATAAATTAAAGCGGGAGAATAGAAGCGGAGACTTGGTGTGATTAAGACAGAGTGAGACAGTATGTTACTGATTCATATTCGCAGGTAAAATGTGCAAAAATCTGAATCTGTCTTGGATAACTTGTCATTATTATATAAAGGAGACAAAAGCAGGACCTTAATTCGCTTAAGTTCATGCCGACGCAGAAGTAACCTGTGTTAAAATGCACAGCAGTAGCAGCAAAAGCAGCACAAAGTTTGGCTGTTCGACACGTTTAAAAAAACAACGATGTTCCTAAAGTCTACACTGTACACGCGTCTCACCTCCGGCTCACTGAAGGCAGATGATCCTCTGAGAGTCAGCGTTATTGTTAAACAGCTGCAGTGTGTCTGGCGATAATATGTGTAAAAAAAAAAAGAAAAGAAACGTGGATGGTTGGTGATTGTGCAAGTTCATAACGTGTCAGCGCATCGTGAAAAACCCCGATATAATTCAGTGTTTAAAATATTTACATGATCTAAATGATAATAAAATGATATGCTAACAATGCATTGCTCTCAAAAAATGATATAAAAATAACACAAAAAGCAGATTAAGAGTCTAAATCCATCCCTTATGTCGCTCAGTGACTCTTATTCTGCTAACCCTTAAACGAATGGACGTGGCGTCACACTCACACACACACACTTTATACACACACACACACACAGTGATCTGACCACAGAGGAGGGCCCTGATTTCTTAAGAGTTGCGTAACCCGGCAGCTCCCTGACCGAACAGCTGCCCCACCCCCCGCCTGTGGAGGGGGGCGGAGTCTGAGCTGCTGGTGGCGCCCGCTGCCATGCTGTGTGTCCATATGGCTTTGGATGGAAAGATCCTAGTCTCTCTCTCTCTCTCCTCCTCTCTCTCTCTCTCTCTCTCTCTCCGTTTATTTTGTCCCTCGTTTGCCTCAGTTGGTTTTCATGGTGACGTCTCGATTTGGCGCCGGCTTCTCCTCCTCCTCTCTTCCTCACCATTTCCCTGCTCGTTATCGTTCTTCCTGCGGCGGTTCTCGTTTCAGGTCCTCCTCGTCGCTCTGAGGGGCGGCGGCAGAGGCAGAGGCAGAGGCAGGGGCTGAGGCAGAGGCAGGGGCTGAGGCAGAGGCAGGGGCTGAGGCAGAGGCAGAGGTCAGAAGCAGAGAGAGGCTGATGGCTGAGGCAGAGGCAGAGGCAGAAGACGAGGCAACCTGAGAGGAAGAGGCGGCCTTTCTCTCCTCGCCTTCCTTCTCCTCATCTTCTCCTTCCTCCTCCTCCTCTCTCCTCATTTTCCTCTTCCTCCTCATCTACCTCGCGGTCGAGAGAGAAGTAGCCGGTGCCCTTCACCGTGTCCTGCCGCTGGTTAGAACATGCACGTAGCCTGCTTTGGACTGAAAGAAAACACCAGATAAATACACTTAGCTATCTGCACAATAACTCATTTCAACTTCTACCAGCATGACTGTGCATTTCTTCATCCTGATGAGTCAACTGGATGATGCTGCATTAATGAGAGCCTGCCTAAATGTTTGTGGGTGAACCTACTGTCGGCAAATACTCACTAAAGCACCAAATGTGTGTTATTTTCACCACTGAAAAATAACTATGTCCTCGTCCCGGGTAACATGTATTACATGTATCTATCGCCTGATCATTTTAGCCTTTGCAGACCATTTACATGCAAAAAAAATATGAAAAGCACTCTATAAATAAAAAGTATTGTTATTATTTCTTCATGTCTTGATAAAAACCTGCATTATCAGTCGTGTCCAGAAAACAGACACCTCATATTTAATGTAAAAGTAGCACAATCACACTTTTTGCCACTATCTACAGTCTTTCAGAAAATGATACAAGTACCAAATATTTAATAAACAGTTATTTACAATGATTTCTGTGGTACACAATTCAACAATTATGTGAAATTGTGTTTATAGACACATTGTCATTATTTTCCAAAAAGCAAAAGGTGATTGATACATACACGGTATCACCTGGAATGTGACCTAAAACACAGGCAGGTGATAGTAATATCCACAACTTGTGCTCATGGAGTAATGCTGCACCATGCCGTGGAAAGGCAGCAGGTGTAGTGGAATCATCAGTGTGTAGTGAGGTGGAAAAGCCTCTACCAACACATCCTAATGAGACTTCAGTGTTGTTTCCATGTGCCAATTACTGTATATCAAGAGCTGTCCAGGAGCAGAAAGTGCTACAGACCCTCACAGTTCCTTGTTAGTGCCGTTTCCACACAGTTGGATGTCTTTGATAAATCAGCAATGTAGTCATTAATCCCAATTAGTGACAACCTCAGAAGTGCATTACTTTGATTAAATTCTAGTTTGTGTCCAGCTGAACTGCCTCAGATGAATTCACACAAGGACCGCTGCCAACGAGGACACTCACCACTATTTGATCTTCGCTGGCAGGAGACACGCTGCTGTCGTCGTAGTTGTACCACTTCTCGTCGTCTTTGTTCTTGCCGTATGCCGTGTCTGAGCGAGAGGAGAAGACAGGAATAGACATTAGTTTTCCTTTAACATGTGTACCATTCTGTACTTATACACCACTTACACCTGCATTTATAATTCAAAGATTCTATTCAGTACAATATGGTTGCTGTTTCTTGATACATTTTTGGGCATTTTGTTTTAGGAACACCCAAACAGAGATGCTAGTGAGCCATTTTAAAAAAGGGCCTTGTCGTGGAGTAAACAAAAACGCATACAAAGTCTAAATGTGCCGTTGTGAACACTTAAAAAAGTAATAGATTACAGTTATTAAAGTACAATACAGTATAGTAAATCTACTTCAGTCCCCGTCAAAACTACTGGGAACCCAAGCATTTGTTGGCTATAATTACAATAGCATATCATTTTAGACTCGACACAGAAACCTAATCTAATGTAGTTAAAAAAGAACTTTAAAGTGCAGCATCTCCAGTTATTTGACTGATATTTACAGGTTGCTTCAGTCACTAATGTGTCAGGCATATGATAAATGCTATATTGCAGAGCATGTTTCTGGATCATGCTGCATCGAGGCAGTGTGGTGAAGGTACACACTAATACAAGTGAAACATTAGGCAGTGATGCTGTGTGCTGGATCTTACAGTGCCTCCCCCCATCCCTCCGTAGTGGTTGGACACAGCGATGAGGTCGTAGAGACAGGGCCCGGAGTTGGGGTTGATCAGGAACTCTGACATGTCCAGGTCTCTGCAGGAAACACATCACAGTGTACCGTCAGTGGTCATGTGACATGCAATGACTAAATATACGCTGTGGGGGCAGAACCCCTTTGAATGAAGCTTATTTTACTGAATCAGATCGTGGGATGTGTTTCCAATTACGCTCTTAGGGTGCAGGGGAGTATAGTGGTGCAGGGATGATGAATTTTATAGGCTAACCGGAACACATTTTTCCATTGGATTTCACCAGTGGGGTATTTACAGACTTATTTTATATCGTAGAACTAAATGTGAAATTCTCTTCGGCTTGTGTTTACCACAGACCTTATATCTTACCAAAAACTCATGTCAAAAAACAATGACAAATGATCCCGTTAGTGCTAAAATGCTAACTCACTTCCGGGCTAAGACTCATTCCTATTAATGCATTAGTGTAGGATCGGATGAACGTCGTTTTATTGCCTGTTGTGCGCGTACTTGAGTGGAAAATCCACCAGGGAGTCCAGCTTGTCCCTCATGTAGCGGCTGTAGGAGAAGCGCTTCAGATGGACCACCAGCACCGGGGGCAGACTCCACAGGTCCAGCTTCTTGGTGGCCTGCTGGTGCTCTTTACAGTCCGGACAGTACCTACGGGACAGGAGGGCATTGGATGTGAGCAGATGCAGTGGACTTCATTTGTTTGGCTGTGTACCGATTGTAAGAATGTGTGGCGTTCCTCACCATGGGTCCTCTGCTCCCAGTTTCTCCTTGGTGGTGAAAAGTTCGATGCAGTCCTTCAGCTTGAAGTAAGCCTTCTTCTGAGGCTTGTACTCCATGCTCTCGTGCTTTTCAAAGTCCTGCAAACACACATACAGCTGTTAGAAAACCTGCCATATCATTAAACACGACGGCAGACTGAACTTGTTCTACACGGCACGCTCTGCTGCATTAACACGGCAAAGTTAGATATCTGTATCGGAGAACGTCTTCTGATATTGGCTTTACCTCGACGACGCTCTCGTCAAAGTACTTCTTCCTCATCTCTGGATCCCAGTCCAAGGAGAGATAAGAGCGGTCTGTGAAGAATGAAAGTGGACAGAATACACAAGTAAGACGAGGAAAATCATCATCTTTCAGGATGTTGTTTCATCCCTGCATCTACAGGGTCATTTTTTCAGGTGATAATGATTAATGGATGTGCTGCAAATATCCATGCGTTGTTAAATATCAATTGTTGTCACAGTAACCCTAGATAAATAACAGATTGGAAGTATAGGGTTTATTTTCCTCCCAATACGAGTTCTTTATCCCCTGCCCCCCCCTTACCGCTGAGTCGGAGGTGTCCCTCGTCGAAGCGGATCTGCCGGGTGTCCTCCTTGATGAGGGAGAAGTCCGTTTTTCCCATGTTATTGAACTGGAATGTGAATAGTCTCTTCCTGTTGTTCCCCGCCGTCTGCTGGGCCTTGGTGGAGTTTTGTGGAGCGACCACGCCGTTCTCCAGCTCGTTGTCCACCGAGTCCTCTGATTGGCTGTTGTCGTTCTCGGAGGGCAGCTCCTGATCCTGACTCGACTCGTCGTCCTGCTCGTCGGTCTCCATCTCGCCTGAGGGAGGACGGAGATCGTTGTAAAGCAGCGAGGATGTTTCCAGTGGTGGAATGTAACAAAGTACATTTACTCAAGTAGTGTACTTAAGTAAAAAAATGTAGGTACTTGTACTTTACTTGAGAATTTTCACATTATGCTACTATTCTATACTTTTACTCCACTACATGTTATCGGCAAATGTTGTACATTTTACTGCATTTCATTTATTTTACAGATGTATTAACTAAATACTTGAGGGTTTAGATTATTAATACAAAATATAAATCAACATATCAAATATTAGACATTTGTATAGGTTAATCTACTCATTATGATCAAATGTAAACCACATAAACCCCAGATTTGCCAAGTGCAAAACTGAAGTGATTAACACATTCATTAATCAATTGGTTGTTTTTAAAGTATTCTGGCTTCAAATGAGGGTACTCACTGGGCGACCCCTCCTCCAGAACTCCGTTAGTGGTGTTGCCGTTGACAGCGTGTTGTTTTGACGGCTGCGTCTCCTCACAATCCTCCTCTTCCTCCTCTACTGAAGATCGCACAAATCGGCTGCAAGCACAAAATAAGAATCAGAATTCCTTTATTAGTCCCAAAGCAGGGAAATGTACAGCGTTACAGCAAAAAGTGGTTTAGCAGGTAAAAAAAAAGGCATACAATAAAAAGAAAAATAAGCTAACTTATTCAATATAGAGAAGAAAAGCACACATGAGTAATAACACAATTAAAATAAGGACAAATAGGTGCAGAGCGATGGCTAAAAATGTGTCAAACTATTTTATTTTACAGCAAGCTTTTTGAAAAAGTATGTTTAACTTCTTAAGAGTTATTTTCTTTGCTTCCTGATTGCCTGCCAGTGGATTGTAGACGGTGAGCTTGTGCCAATTGGCGATGGGATTGACGATTAAAGGCATGATGGATGATTGCTGCTCACCAAAACGTTGCTCTTTGCTCCAATAGAGTAGTTAACATGATGGATATGATTTGGATTGCGATATAACAAGATAAAGCTGTATTGAATGTCATTAATATACTTTTTTTTACTGAGGTTCTTAAATTAAGCGTCTGTCATCATATTTTATGACATCACCACCCAAAGAAAAAGGGGGAAATATGATTTTGTGTTATTGTGGTTATATAATTGTGATTTATGGGGTTATAGAACAGACCTCTAATACAGAAGCCTAAATTAATTGGTAAGCTCCATCTTGTATACAGTGTTTAGACAACGTTCTTGTTGCTCTGTGTTGCGTTGTTAATGAGTGAGACACACCGGAGTTGAGGATCTGTGGGGTTTCATTTCCCAAAAATATAATTTACAATTTAGGCATTTAGCAGACGCCTTATTCCAAAGCGACTTACAATGACCAATTACAGGGACATTCTCCCTGGAGTAACTGAGGGCTAAGTGCCTTACTCAAGGGCACACTAGTAGTGGTGTTCCAGGCGGGATTTGAACTCGCAACCTTCTGATCATTAGCCCACCTCACTATCCATTAGACCACCAAAAATATATATATTTTAAAAGAAAAAGAAAATCAATGTATGGGAAACACTGATATAACATAAGATAGTGGCCTCATGTTTAACAGAAGCTAACAGATTTGAAAAGGGAGCCATTTATAGGATAAAAACTGTTTTATTAGTATTTAAAATAATACTCTTATTTCTATTGCAATTGTTTAACTCTATCAAAATATAAATAATCCCCCAACTGTACAAGACACCAGCATTAGGCAATAAGTGTCAATTTTACACAATGACCTTACGATCAAGATGAGAGAATAAAGGGACGTACCAGAGGCGCAGCAGCAGCATGTTGTACAGTTTGTCCTCACTGAGGGTCCTGGGGACGGCGAGCAGGAAGGGCTGTCCGAACAGCGGCGTGCTGGTGTGGTTGTAGCCCGACTGTTTGAACTTCTCCCTCAGGTGAACAGGGATCACCACGTGGTCCGTGTCCTCCACCCTGTTCACTGCCAACTCGAATCTGCAGAGAGGGGAGGGGTCAGCATTGTGGTGCAGAATTAATCACCTGGTAATATTCAAAATGGGTGAATTTAAACATGCATTAGCAGTGCAGATTAGTGACATTAGATGAAGGGATGTGAATTCCCCTTTAGTTGCCTGTCTCTTAGAAAATAAAGTGGCCCTATTATGCAAATGTTCTGGATCATATTTGTATATAGTGCCTCTACTGTGACATGTTAGGTTCAAAAAGTGTTGTATTTCTCTCATACTGCCTGTGCTGCAGCACCTCTTTTCAGCTTCTTGGGATTTTAGCCTTTGCAGACCATTTACATGCACAAACACCTTTATTTCTAAGCTACATAGGCTTAGAAATAAACACAAAATGTTTCCTTTTTGCAGCAAGAGTAAAAAGGAAAATCCTAAGTCCTGCATTTGTATGTCTTTGGCAAATAAAGCTATTTGAATTAGTGGACAGCCAATGATTCAATGCCTTAAATCTCACAAAAAACGTCATTAATAAGGTCAAAATTAAATTGAATTTATCTGGGAAGTGTTCAAACCAATGATAAAACAGACAGATAATTTACACCACGCATTATATCTTATTTTATGGGGTTTTATGCCGTTTCAAACTTTAGATGACAGATGAAGCAAGATTGACACTCACACATAGATATCGTCTCTTTCCATGATGCTGCTGAGGTTCTCGTTGGTGGCGAAGATCCGATGGAAACGGTGGTTGTAGATGTCGGTTACAATCATCTGGGGTAAGGAGAAAAGTAGTCAGAAGACTCTTGGAAATGTAGGCATATCAGCTAATTGGTGATTCTTGTTGGTACACAGAATTAAGATGTTGGACAAAGATACAACAGTCTATTCCATTAGCTGATAAAGATAGGTAGGCAGGGAGAGTTTAACAACTATTTTGTCTGCAGATGATGTTTATACCTTCTCAGCAGGCACCTCCGTCAGGTTTGAAAGCGAGATACACAGGTCAGAGATGGAGCCCACCTTCGGTACAGTCAGCTTGTACTAAAAATAGAAACACATCACATGAGATCAGACCGTCAGGGAGCCAGATGTAGTGCCGTTCAGGGGGTTTCCCATCTTACCTGTGTGGGTTTGGCCAGAGGGTCCAGTCTGACCAGATAGACCTCCAGTGTCCGCTCCTTCCTCATGGGCAGAGGCAGCGTCAAGTAGCAGAAAGGGTCAAAGGTCACAGAGACCTTGGAGCACACAGGACACACCAGGGTGGATTTGAAGAGGCCGTGGAAGATGTCCACAATGATGGAGTTGTTTCTCTTGATGTGGTTCTCCCATGCCTCCTCCGCCACCACCTGAGATAAACAGAAAAAACACAAACATGATATTGTTAGAATGTATTGTTTTTTTTAAAAACTTTTTACCATTGTTTTTAGCGACTTATGCCAACAAAAATTAACACTTTTTCATCCAGTTTTTCTCCTTGTCACCTTATCAGGCCTGCCATTAGCATCCTTTAGCTGGATGTAGGGCTTCTTCCTGATGCGGTTCAAGTCTTCGTGGAGGCCGTCCAGCAGGAAGGCCAGAAGCTCGTGAGAGTCCTGCTGTTGGTAGCCCGAGAACTGCGGGGCGAAGCGGCCCACCTGGGTCTGCAGAGGGGAAATGGAGGAAGCGTTTAAACAGAATGAAAGTAGAAAAACCTAGGATATTTTCCACCCTATTTTAGAAAAAGCTAACATTTCTTGTAAACCCTTTCTAGTAAGACTTTATCACCACACCCTTTGTGAGTTAACCCCCACAGTTCTATGCAGTCAAATTACTGATTTCACATGTTACATGTTTTATTTTAAGATTCAACCTGAAGATAGTTGCACTTTAAGACCCTTCACTGACCAGTATTCTACACTGATGCATTTCTTAGTCTGCTCCTTTTCTACTTGTGAGTGTATATCTTTCAATGACAGTGTTGTTTATTCTCCAAAGACATACTTTTGCTTCCTGCTCCAACTGCCTTACTCTGGTCTGACACAATGATACTGCTTTTACAGCCCTTCCTTTCCAAAAATGTGTAAACAAAAACATTGAACCCAACATTTTGCAATTCTCAGTTTTTCCAGGAAGTCACCTTGAAAGGCCTCGGAGTGACGTAGCTGAATTTGCCCGACCACAGCTGCTTGATAAGCTCGGCGTAGGCTTTGGCAATCTCTCCCTTCATGCCCAGTGGGTTGTCCTCGTTCAGCTCCTCTGTGAACTTGTCCTTAAGGAAGTACTCCGTCAGTGGAGGGATATTGCTTAAACACTGCAAAAGCAAAGAGAGGACAATAATCAGCAGATGCCATCACATCCTTTCCTTGTTTGAAGTACTTGTCATTATATTTGCATATACAGATTGTTTCAAAATGAAAAGGTTCCCTTACCTGCACAGCAGAGTTCATGAAGCAGGTGTTGCCCAGGTTGGAGAGTCCACAGAGGCCTGAGCGCTCACTCTGCCGGCTCTGGTCTGTGTAGTCATAGCTGTTGCTGTATGGGTGGTAGGATGGTAGACTATAGCTTGAATTCTTCACACTGTGCAATAAACATACAAAAGCACATTATATATAGTTGGATAAGATTTGTCAAATTGCTACGAGAAAATAAAAAGAACATCCTATTCAGTTTGCACCATTTCCACTTCAATAGAACACCAAACTACAACCAAAACCAAAACCCCCGCCCCCAAAATATCTCTCTGGCTTCCTGGGTAATCACAGGAAAGTTAAAGCTTCTCCAACCAGCAGACCTCTGGGGGGGCTTGTTGGTGGTTTCTGGCTCCCACTGGTCTAGGGACACAGCAGTGATGGCGGTGGAGGCACTGGCCTCGCAGTTCAGCACACGGTGGTCCACCCTCCGGCTCTCCAGCTCCACCGCCTCAGGCCTCAGGCACCACCAGCAACACAGGAGCATGACATCTCAGCCCCGCCCCGGCCCACATGTCAGCTGGAAACTGAAGCACCGGTAGGGTTCAGTTTGGGCCCCGGTGCACGCAAAGTCTGGATCTTATAGGCCCGGGAATAAAAGTCCACCTTTGGTCTCCAAGGTTGAGTCCTGGTGTCACCTCAGCTGAACCCAGTAGCTGTTTTGATGTAGTCCGAAACCAACTAAATATGACTTCCAAGTCCAGCCAGGGCCGATAATCAATCCACAGAACGCAGTAAACACACACTCCTCCTCTATCTGACGGCTATCCTCTCCTCTCCTCTCTCCCCTGCTTCATTTTCCGCCTGTTATCTTGTTATGCTCTCTGCCTCAGATCCCTTCCCTCTGTCCCGTCCTGTCCACTGGTCTCCGCTCCTCCCTCTGGCCTGCCTGCTGCTCTCTGCCGCTCTACGGCTACCGGCAGATATTTATAGCAGCATCAGCAGCAGCAGCAGCAGCAGCAGCAGCAAAGGATGCTCAAGACTACCGCTATCGAAAGCTAGAGGTGCACAGAGAGAGGGAGGGAGAGGCAGAGAGAATAGGGGGGTGGGGCGGACAGTGGGGGGGGGGGGGGGGGGGGAACAGAAGCTAAATGAGATGGGGATGGAGGGAGCAGCTGATCCACTGCATCCAGCTGAGGCTGCAGTATGCACGGGCCTGTTAGTATCTCTCTCCCTCTTTAACATACACACACACATTAACACATGCTCATTCAGCCCCCTCGTTCACACATTACACTGCGCTCCGAGCGACACACACTTGTTCTCCTCTCCGTGACATTGTTAGCTGCCCCTTCAAACACACACTTTGACAGTCCCTCTTTTATCTTTTTAATATGCCACGGCTGTCTGGATTTTTTTTTTTTTTTAAAGGGGGCAGGGGCTACATCAATAAACTACGATCTAACTGAAGAAAAAAGGGTTTCATCAGAGGGGTGTGAAGGGGGGCAGATGAAATGTATTCTGAAGGTCACTTACACTGCAGAATGTGTGCATCGCAATGAGCTCGGGGGGGGGAGAGGGGAGGTAAAGAGACTCGAGGAGGGGGACGGGCAGAATTAGGTGACACAGCCTCGTAAAACTTACTGTATTGCTACCAGGCCAAAAACAGCAAAAGACAAGTGTTATGTAATGCGGGAACACTTCATATGAAGGGGAAAAAAAAGCCCCCATGCATAATTCAGAGGAAACGACAGCTCTGGCACTACAGTGAATCAGGGACAAGGAGGAGAGCTGCTGGGAGTAAAGATCCAATTTCCCCAAGTCACCCCGGAGAAGATGCCACTGCTATCAAACAGCATAAAGCAGAGCTGTGGGATGATCGCGTGTAACCGTACACCAAGATATCAGGAAGAAGAAGCTCGGCCAGCTCTCCTTCTTTATCAATATTGATTTTTCAGGGTGGCTGAGCTTGTGGCTATTATTTCTGCATTCCAACGGTATCAAAGGGAAAATACAACGCAGCAGAGTGTCTTTCTCCACACGCAGAGGCACTCTCCAACAGCATGCAGTAAATCACACACATAAAAGGTGGAAGGGGTGTACTAGACAGCAGAGGGGAGAGCTCCACCCACAGTCGAGCAGTGCTCTCTATAAGGGCTGACGGAGCCCCGAGGTCCCCATGATTTAGCAACAAACCTTAATGTAGGCTACTGACATTTACAGGAAACTGAACAGAGGAAAGAAATTAGCTGTGATTCATTTTGAAGCACAGCAGGAGATCTATCCGAATGATTTTTTAGATGCTTCTCTGGTTTGACTTGCTTTACCTGTCTCTCGTGTTAACATTGTGAAGGACAGTAACGCAAACCTATAATTTGAATTTCCTTACCCAGGATCCAGGACTGATTTCATCCAGTTTGAGTGACATATCTATGAGTTTAAAGGCTTATCAAACACCAACAAAGATGCACAAATCAGGATGTTTGCAACTTCGAATAATTATTATGCCAACTTTTATTGTATCTTTCATTGGTTGTGAGGTTAACAGTAGAAATAGGCCTTTCGTTTAACCTTTTTTTGATACCAGGAATATTCCTTTGCGCATTTTTGATTGGCTAAAAAAGCACTATGGAGGAGGGTTGTGTGTAACCACATCAGGCATATTTCAAAAGGGTCCTGCATTTCTTTTTCCAAGAAAACTCACAGGTTTAGCAATAATCATGGATCAGATTAAAGAAAATCATTCTAAATTGGAATATGAAAAATAATCAGTTCATTAAAGTACATACTGTTGTCTGGATATTGCTTGAAGTTTAATTAGATAACAAACCAAGCGGTTCTCAGGCTTGTCGTTGTGCACCAAAAAAATAACCTAATTGTTCATTCTTTGAATATTATTTACAACTAGGTGTTGTATTAGACAGAAGGGTGTAAGCAAGACCTATTAGCACTCAGTAATGGGTAAAATAATTATCCCATTAGCCATAACCATGCAGCCCGAGCCAGAGCTATCAATCAGTGAGGTAGAATATCAGATGCAAACTATCAACTAGCATAATGAAATGCTGAGGAAGGCACCCAGAGGCACCGGCCGGCCACTTATAGAGAGCACTGCTGTCGCTGGAGAAAATTCAAAGAAGATCAATCTTTCGTAAGCCCCCCCCCCCCCCCCCAGCAATCCCCTCCCTGATTGATGCTTTTAAAGCTGAACCTGCTTCATCACAAGACAGCATTTAGACCAACCAAAGGCAGAGATAGACCTGTATGAGGAAGTTCTTCAAACTTCATACTGGTTTCTGTTAGCGAAGTGAATTAGGAATGAGTGCAAATTGAAAGGAAGTTCCCTCTTTTGAAAGGAATTTCTGCAGGAATTACAATAAAGAATGCCAGTTAATGTGAAGGTTTTTTGCTGAGTAATACTACACACTCTATCTCTGGCTGTTGGCATCCAAACCCCGCCTCCCCCCCCTCAGCTAATTCACCCACAACTAAGCCTTACTTCCTGCTGTTGAAGCTGCTGTTATGATTGTTTGTGAGAGATGAAGGCGAGATCTTTGGCAAAGCACAGAGATTGGAAGCACCAGATGACCTTCAAAAGATAAAGAATAGATCATGAGTTAGAGTAGTGGAAAAATAAGAAGCCGTTCCAGAAAGGTGTGCCCAACAAAAAGTGTCCACAAAATAAAAGCTGAGATGATTCAGAAACGAGTGGGAGGGGATATGTGAGCAACTCAAGGTCAAGCAAAAGACTGAAAGTCATAGAGAGGACATCTTTGAAGATGATGAGGTGCTCTAGTGGCATAGCAGGGAAACTAGATTTTAAAATGTACATGATTACATTTTGCAATTAAGGATGAGGAGTACATTTAAAAAGGTGTTTTCAGAAAGCTCCCCGAAGGCGAATCAGCATTGGTGACAGTGTGGAAATAGCGTTTTTATTTCGGTGGCTACATTGTCTTTTAGTCACGGCGGGTGAGGTGGCGTTCACTCACTTGGGTGCCTTGGAGCCTCGGGGCCAAGAGCCGTCCTCAGCCTTCTGCTCTATTACGAGAACCTGTGGGAGACAGAAAAGAGAAAGTAGGGCTCCATCTGCTTCCAAACTTTTAAGTCAAATGTACTTCAAGTATTTGCTTCCTTTACTGCTGTACAGTGAACAGAAGTGGTTGTGTGCGATCAGAGGAATGAAAGCTAAATAGTTGGATTTATTTTGAGTTGGAGGAATGGTTGGGGCAGGGCGATATGGAGAAAGTGAAATATCACAAAGATTCTCATCAATTACCTCGATATCTAACAATTGTAAAACACCTGTTCTGTATTGAAGCATGTTTTAACTTTTTATTTGTTATGTTTATCGGAATTTTATATATATTTACTTTTTATGTTTATTTATTCATTTTAGATTTTACTTAAAAATGTTATGTTTCTTTAAATATTTTATTTATTTATTTGTATTTATCTTTTAAAAGGACAGCTGTCGCGAAATGCAATTTGTTCCCCCATTATAAATTAAGTATTCAGATGCTTTGATTCTGATATTGTGACTATTGCATGGTTTGTGCATCACAAAATATTTACACAATGAGATTTTGGATAAATAATCATCAGTGATGTGGATATCAGGATTAGGTGGGTAAAACAAACAACCATAGAGTTAGAACAGTCTGGGAAGATCAGAAAATTACGTCTGGTTACTGTAATCCAGGCTTAAAAACTAGAAAAATACACTTATTACCATTTCCTAAATTTTAAATCTAAGTATACTCTGAATAGACTAAGTTAATTAAAAGACATGATGACCTGATATCTAAATGCAGTACACATTTAATTGTATTAAATACAAACAAAAAGGACAGATGTGTTTTTGCCTTTCAAAACATTGTGAAGATCTGCCATTGACTTCTTAAAATCTCTGAGTGAAACCAACAACCTGTTACTGCTGTTGCTAATGGGGTGAGACAGGGAGTAAGATGGATCTCTGGAGTGGGACAGCCCTTTGTGGCCGTGTGTGTGAATTAATATCAGCCTATATAGAGAGTGTGTGTGCTGTAGTAGACTGCCAGGTGGATGCCAGGACACGCGTGCAGAATTGAAGCAGCTTACAAAGAGAGGTTGTGGGATTTGAAGTTGTAAACATCTCATAAACGGACAATAGCTTCAGCTTCCATTGAAAATACTTTGCTAGGTGTCAGCTTTGCTGTTCTCTGTCACCATAGATTTTCATTGTATTGCATTCATTGCATTAACAACTCCCATATTCAGACTTTTAAGTACCTAAAATACTTGCTTAGGTTAGGTGTTCACCCATGAGAGAAACTGGGTGGATAATCGAAGCAGTGATTATACAAAACAAGACAAAAGCACCACCTAAAGAGACTCACACTTCAAAGACACTTGTCATAGTTTGAGTCTGGCATATAGCGTATAGAGAATTGAGAAAAGTTATTGAAGAACTTTGCATGGAGATTAGTTAGACTGCCCTCTGCAGGTCATGACAACCTGTTGGATACAGATTTAAATAAATCAGAGAAATAATGGTTTTCCTGAAGCTCCACTTTCCTGTGATTTTGAAGGGTACAAATAAGGGAAAAGCGTTCCGCAAAAGGGAGATTGTAACTAGAGCATATTTCACTTAATAATAATAATTCATTACATTTATTAGAGCACTTTTCCAAATGCTCAAAGCGCTTTACATCCACTTAGTTAAAGGTAGGGTAGGTAAGAATGGAGAAACCAGCTCGAGTCAGTGCGCTAGAATTTGAAAGTACGCAGCCGAAAGAAATCTGCCCCTTCCTTCAGACTTCCTTACAGAGCCCCTCCTCCAACACACACGAACGCGCACATGACCAATGAGGGCACAAGATAAGTTTGTGCACAGATTGAAAGGCTGACAGGCAGGTAGGCCATCCAGTTATTTTAGCCGGGCCGGCTCAGAAGATTGGTCGTGCTTTTTACAGCGCCACGGCTTCCACAGAGGACATTTTTTTATGTATTTATTGTCAAAGCATTTAATATATTCATTGCTATCGGGATGTTAAGAGCATTCCATGGAATATAACAAAACGTGTTTCTGAAGTGAATTACCTACCCCACCTTTAAGGAAAAATAACTGTCTACATAGTGAGCCATATTTGACCTGCTTTGAGGACATTTTGTCCACCATGTCTTTTTTCTTTATGTCTTGAAAAGAAAGCTTTAAACTGTTCCCTGCGACAGTTTCTGATCAAACAACCAGAAGTCCGTACCTGTCCTTGGTACAGTCCGGCGTCTTGAATGGTGCTGTCGGGTTTGTTGAGAGGCTCAAAGGTGTTGCTCATGTAGCGGTTCCACATCCTGGTCTCCTTCTCATCAGTGATGCTGAACAGCTTCCTCATCTCCTTCTCGATCATGTCTGCAGGAAAAGAGTAATAATACAAATACAAAATAAATTAAAAATAAATTTAATTAGTGATGGTTATTAGTGGTGAAGAGTAAAACAACAAGTAATGGTGTGTAAGTTCTTTTTTTCATCAACAGACCACATTTGTTCAGACATTACACAATTATTCAAGTATTGTCTACAAATCCACTTTACTCCATAGACATGATGATGTGTTGTTAAATCATGAAAATTGTTGATTCATGTTTTAATGGTTGCCCAAATCAGACAAAAGATGAAATGCAAGCAGTTGAATTACAAGTTTAAAATAAAGAGTCTTTACCGCTGGACAAAAAGCTACAAACACCACATAAGGCTTTTGTCTTCAGGGACTGTGGGAAAGCTTCAAATCTACATTTAAACCTTGAAACAATTGACTCCGTACGATTCACAGATATTTAATTTCTACAACTCCGATCAACAGTGATGCAAACATGACACCCGAGTGGACACGGGTGTTCACTCTTTTTTTAGACACAATGCTTTTCAACACACGATGAAGTGAATATATAATGGATAAAATGAAAAGTTTAGCATAACTAGAGGCATAAAAAAAATGTCTGCTTCAGGTGCCGACAGGGGACGTAAGCCATTGATGTTGAATGTTAAAAAACCCGGGAAAAAAACAAAAGACATACTCGTCTAATGGCTAGTGAAATTTGCCTATTTTGAGTATTTTTCTATGTTTCATAAACCAGCATAAAGGGGATAATTTGGTAGGAAGAAAGGGTATATGAACTCTGACTTAAAGGAAGTCATCTTGGAAGTGCGATCTACCAATCAGAGGGTCAGTGGTTTGATCCCTGCAGTCAACATGTCCAAATGTCCTTGAGCAAGATACCCAGCCCCAAATTGCTCCCGTAGGAATGTATTGAAGTGTATGCAAGTCAATTTGGATAAAAGCCTCAGCCTAATAACATGTAATGTAATGAACTCATGGAGGACACTGAAGAATGACATAGACAGTTGCTCCCGATTGACTTAGGCCTACCTATTGTGTCGGCTTTACTGAAGCGTCTGGTGATCACATTGTCCATGTTGCCGTCTTCACACAGCTTCAACTCCGTCAGGTACACCTCCACCTTGCAGTGCTTCACAAACATACCCTGTTCCACCACCTGGAGAAGGAGCACAGTGAAATGATTAACCATCCACACAATCTTAGATGATGATCAAAGCATGATGAGTCAAATAAGTTGTATACATCAGAACCGAATCTCCAATACTACACATTACATTCTTACAAGGAAAACATTTTTCTATTAAAAAAAAAAACATCATATACCAGGAATCCTCAGGATTATTCCAAACATTTTCCAGCTTCTGTTTTAATCTTAACTGCGTGTCATATATGAATCACATTAAAAGTCATCTTAGACATAATGTCAAGCAGAAACACAAGATAAATCACTGCTGTCCCTCTATCAGATGGCTAAACAGCCGCATCGTGTTTTATATGCCTATTATGATACAAAACTATTTCACACCAACATGAGTCAACTAAATATGGCTGACCAGCCATTTGCTGGTTATTCTTTCAACATGAATTAGTATGCTTCCCATCCCATGTACATACACTGCTTTGAAATCATTTAAATGCTGACATAAACAATTTAAAGTGTCAGGTAAATCTGAAGTTGTACTAGTTTCTGTTTCTCACGATTCACAAAGCACACTTTGGTGGTCTTGCTGCCACTCATCTGATCGGAACAGAGTCAGAGAGCTTAAATTAGCAGCACCTCGTGGAAACAGCTGAGGGGTCCCAGCCTATTTATGACCCCCCTTCAACACACACACACACACAAACACACACACAGACACACACCACTTCACAAATGAGAACCGCAATAGTCATGCACACACGCAGCTCATATTCTCCCCCCCCCCCCTCCCATGCCAAGATCCCCCCAGTGGGCCCATCCTACCCCTTAGCGAAACACCCATGTGTTAGTAAACCCGACGCAAAAGCCCAAGTCATGGCAGAATTTCTCACAAATCAGAGCTGAGCCAAAACCCATTCTCCCCACCCACTCCATTACTCCCAGTGTGGTATTGCCTCCTCTCAGAAGCTCTCATGCTGCTCCTCTCAGAGTGACCTCAACCAGCATTCCTCCACTTCAAAAAACAAGGACACGCAGGAACACTTCGCCGGTGTTGGCATATCACACCGGAGTACGACAACGGAAGGAAACGCGCAGAACCTGTGACTACAATCCTCCTAAAAATCCTCTTTAAACGCTTGTGTTTCCGCGCCTCTCAGGATGACACCCGCCGAAAAAGAGACAAAGAGGGTAAAAGAAGAGGAAAACTGATAATGAACCTCCTGCATGTTGTGTCTCGCGGATCGCTCCATGTAGCTTTTCTGTCATCCAGCTTGTTGCCTGAAAATAGAAACCCGGCAGCCACCCGATACGTCCCAAGACATACATGGCAAAATGGGAGGGTCAATGTAAGGGGGGGAGAAAGAACGAGAGAGAGAGAACGGTAGAGATGAAGGGGGGAGAGGAACCTCTTCTAGCAGCCATGATGCCATGATGACTAGTGAGATTTGAAGCGGGGAATTAATACCGTAGGTGCTGTCAAGTTGTAGCTGCCATCATGGAGTACTAATAAACTGTGACCACTCATGGAGCCATTCAGCGTGTGTTTCAATCTACAAAATGGAAAGTACTTAAATAAATAGTTCATGACAGAAAGAAAGAAAATATATGAAAACAACATCCTTGTTTCTTCATTTTCATTAAGGGTTAATGTCCATTAATTTAGCATATTCTTATTACCAATAAATAACTACTAGAGCAGTTCTTATGGTTACACAAAAGCCTACGGTAAAGTATTCCCAAAGAAATGTTCCAGACTGTCTTTGGACATTCTTTTTGTTGAAAATGAATAATGAGCAGCAGGAGAGCCATGTCAATACAAGCCATTACAATTATGCTAGACTCTTCATATCTTGATCTCAAATGGCCATAATAATTCATGTTTTTCTACTTCAACCCAACACAGGCAATACTACGAAACACCACCGTTAAACCACAACACAAAAATCCACCATAGCTAGTGCTATATTGCCCATTTGGATGCATTCTAAACACAGTGAGAAGAACATTACTTAACCACAAAATCCATTCATAAATACCAAAGCCTTACCTTGCGTGCAATTGGCTCCTGATTATCTGTCAGTCCATACCAGCTGACAAGCTTATTCCAGCCCTCTGTGGGGACCAGGATGTAGTCGAGCTCGTCGATGAGGTGCTCCTTGATGGCCAGCACATCCGCATCTAGAGGTAAGGAGGAGATGGGAGAAAAGTTGAGAAACAAGCAGGCAGACAGAGAAAGGAGATTCCACTCATTCACTCACAACAGTGACCCTGCACTGACTGTCTCCCACGACACAAAACACACAAAGGTACGCTGGAGAGCTTTCCTGAAAAAAGGCTCCTCTATAGAGTCTGATAACAATGGTGTTGTTTCCCCTTTTCCTCTGAATTCTTTGTTACTACTTCCAGAATAATAAAGCTATACTGACTAGGGCTCTATAGTGTGCCACACAGTGTTTACAATATATCCCTTATTGAAAATGAAAGTCTAGGAAGGTAAAGCATTATATCTTACCTCTAAGAAGACCGGAGTTATCAACTGGTCCTGGGTAGACATTCTGGTCACCCATCTGGTATTTGTCCCAACTGTCAAATCCGACATATTTCTTCCACTGTTTGAACCAGTGACTGTCCACCAGGTACCTGAAGAGAAGGAAAGCGATATTATCATTTCAATTCTGATGAAGCAAGATGGGACACTCTATTCAGTATAGTTTATGTAATGGTCACAAAAGAAGCTAAACTAGGGCTTTGAGTATCTTATCTACAATGATGATAATAGATAAGCTTCAGCAGGTAAAGGCTTCCTTGCTGTCAGTGCTCTCAGCAGCAAATCTGACTGTGAGAGGCTAACTTAGCACAGATTGATAGGTGTAACAGTAACTTAGTGACTTCAGCGTGCTGCATGTCTCGCCAGCTGGCTCTGTGATTTTGACAGGTGCTTCTTTTCCGACTCCGCCCTGCTACTGAAGTCGTCGGATGAACCCGGTGGCTGACGAACCACTTAGTGCTTCGGTCGGCTAGCCAATTAGCCATTAGCCTGCTAACTAAATCACTTAAATGAAATGCAGCCACATTGAGCTGGTGTCCCCGTGTGAATAGCGACATTGACATTAGAAAGTAGCGAATATAACCACCAAAATGAATAAGTTCAAGTGTAAAGATATCCATCGTTCTCCATTGACAGTCTATTAGCTAGTGTTAGCTGAAGCTAGCTGACACACATGAAAATGAAAGGAACCCGTTAGCTAGTTTGAAGCTAACTGTCAACACGGCCCGTTTTTTATCCTTTTTGACGTTGTCAGCCTCGGCAGAGCCAGCCGAAGACAACGCGGTATCCTTGAAAAGGTTCCAGCTCAAGTCTTACCAAGTGTCTCCCTTTTTTAGCTGTGTTTTCAACAGTGCCGCGACCTCTCCTCTCTGGGTATCCAGATCAGCCGCTCCTCCTTCCGCCATCTTTCCTCAGACATCACCCACTGCATTGTGGGAAAGAGCGGGGCGTCACCGAGGCACGTTGTGAGTGACGCGGCCGTCTCAGCCAATCATCTGCCGGCTGAGAGTACAGCAGAAGCATGACACCCAGTGGTTACATTATTCTAGAAAAATGCTTCAAAACTGCTCCATCATTGCGGATTCTTGATGTCTAAGAAGCTCTACGCCTCCAAAAAACAAACTACACACACAAAACATCTTTATCCAGCCTGTGGTATTTTATCATTTGATATTTAGGCTAATTTATACATTATCCTTTGTATACAGCATGTCTCTTTTCCTGTAGTATATCAATCTATATTTCTGTTGCTGCAGATATATATACATAGTCATATAACATTTTAATTAATCTAGAAATGTTAAAATGTGTATATTTGTGATATTAGTCACAACTGTGGATATGTTTATATTTGCTGTTTATTTTTGTAATTGTATTTATTTTATTATGTTTATACTTTATTCCGACTTTTAAATATTGTAATGCCTGAACACACTGCTGCTGTAACAAAATAATTTCCCAATTTAGGATCAATAAAGTATATCTGTCTATGATCTATCTATTTCCTTGTGCACTTAATGTAAATAATATCCTACTTTTAAATTGTGTTAGCTGTGATTTGGCCCTTCATAGTGTTTATTTGTCAGACGGTACAGATTTGTATCTTTCACGGTCAACTTGTGCATATTTTAATTTTTAGTTCTGTTTTATTTTCTGTTTTGGGATAAGACAGTCTTATCTCATTAAAATACATAAATTCTCTGAATAAGGGTTTCTTTTTGTTTCTTTTTAAACTGTTCAATTATCTAACATGCTATTCCTGATCAGACATGTTATATCTTTTCCTATGTGAATCAGTCAAATGCATATTTTCTGCATTTTGTTTCCTACGGGAAAGACAGAATAATACGTAGGCACATTATGCTAACTAAGCAAGGTCAACACCTGCTGTGCTCCATCACTACCACTAATGAATGTGTTGAGAACACATCATTATGGACACACAATGTCATTATCAGTACGTTAAAGAGACTCCAGCCATTTACTACTGCACTTTCATAAAGTTCATTTCATTTCAATCTTTATTTCGAACAGATAAAAAAAAATAACAAATAAAAAATAACAAATGTGAAAAGCAGAATACCGTATTTATCCACATTCATGATAATATTTATATATTCATCGAAAAAAAAGTCTTCATATTAATAATAATAATAAATCATATGTGTCCGAAAGGGAGCAGGAGGAAGCAAATGCTTATTAATTCCCACCCCTTACTTGATCAATGATTGTCCTTTAAATCATTATGCAAGTTATTCCTACTTACATTTACATTTATACATACATATACAATAATTTCTCATCTTCAATCACCTCTCTTCATTCTCATAGTTTTCCCAAAAAGTGTTTCTGTACATCCTTTTAAACTGAATTATGCTTGTGCTTTGTTTTAACTCCTGCTCCATAAAATCACCCCACAGATTGTTATACTCATACTTCTCAGTTGTTCTGACCTTGAGTTGTTTCAAATGTAGATTTCCTCTCAAATTATACCCACCCTCTCTGTCTATGAACAGTGTTTTTAATTTCCTAGGAAGTAGATTATGTCTTGCTCTGTACATGATTTGTGCCGTTTTAAATTGAACCAGATCAGTGAACTTCAATATGTGTGACTTCAAAAATAATACATCAGTGTGTTCAAGATATCCAACATTATTATTTTGTAATGTGCATAACGGCTGTAGGTTGGTTTTGTACGTGTTTCCCCAAATCGCCACACAGTAAATCAGATATGGCAATATCAGTGTGTTATATAGAGTATACAATGAGTTGTAGTCCAGAATGTGTCTGGCTTTTCCCAATATTGCGATAGTCTTAGCCAGTTTTGCTTTTACATGAGTGATATGAGGTTTCCAGCTGATTTTGTGGTCTATAACCACACCAAGGAACTTATATTCATATACTTGTTCTATGTTTATGTTATCTAGTATTAATTGCACCTGTGGATTTGTTTTATGTTTTCCAAATAACATAATATTTAATGATAATTTGTTTGTTGAGGGAAAGATACATTTAAAAAACAATGGTAGAAATGTAAGCAGCAGAGGCTCAGATATCCAGACTTTTATTCCCAAAAATTATGAATATACTTCATCATTTAATACCTCTTTTCATGGGACCTTCCCTGACTACATTTAATGTTTTACTCAGACATCCATAAAATGATTACAGACAATAATTTTGCATGTTTATTTAAAAACATCCTTACAAGATTCACATTTCTTTGTACAGTCATATTATGTTACAGTACAAAATATGAAACTACTTTGTATATGTCATGTTAGTCCTACAGATATGCAGCCGTAATTTTCACTAACATTAAATCCTTTCATTACACAGTCTCTTCATGTGAAACCCAACACTTCATTTTATATGATAATACAACATATGATACAAATATGGCAAAGTAGCCATGAAGTTATGTCAGATACACAAGGACATCAAAAGGTAACAGGCAATACATGCTTAACCTGTTTCATTACAGATGTCAAAAAACATTTTAAACTGTTCGTTGAACCTGTGTGTCGTTGTGTTGATTTACCGCCTCTTATTGATTCAAATGCCTTTATAATAACAGTGTTACAGTTTCAATAAGGCTGCCCTTGAATCAGTTTATTTATTTAGCTGTGGATAGCAGAGCGGAACAATGTATGGTAATTTATTAATGTAGAGTAAATATATTTTGTCCCTGAAAAAATGCCCTTGTCCAATCTTAAATGTCTAAGTGATCCAATGATTTGTATTTTGTACCTTAACTGCCATCCCTGACACACTGTAGACCTATAATGTCCTGAGTCCTCCATATCTGTTTTGCATTAAAGTACATGAGGTCTGACACACATCATCACTGTGGGGGGGCTCATAAGTTGGAGTCCATCTCTGAGACCGGGAAGTAGCCATTTCGGGTTGTTGTGGATTCTCCCTCGGGGGCAAAGATGACCAGTAACTTCTCCTGCTCCCTCTTGGTTTTGGGTAAGTCGTCAGATGGTGTGATGAGCAACTTGATGCGCTGCAGAGAGATAAAACATTGTAAACAGGCTCCAGTCTTGACCTTTTTTCACTTATAACATCAGAAATGGGTTTAAGTCAAGTCCAGTTTTGTAGAGATTTGGGACAGTTATTATTATTATTAGTCCAAAGATGGAAAAAGACCTTAGATATTTTACTTGAGTAAAATTTGCAATACTAAATTGTAAAAATACCTTGTTCAAAGTAAGAGTCCTGCATTCGAAATCTCTCTTAAAGGGGCCCTATTGTGCTTTTTGGGGTTTTCCCTTTCCTTCCCTTCTATAACATAGTGACATCATTATGCAACACTTGTGCCTCTATTGGGTAGCGCTCCAACACATTGTACGTGATGGGGCGGGACATCTCTAACCTGTGACCAATCACAACAGAGCTGGTCAGCTAACCAATCAGAGCAGACTGGGCTCTGGTTTCAAACAGAGGGTGAAAAGAGGTACAGGCAGTATGAGAAAAATAAAGAGCTTTTTGAACAATAAAGCATGTAAACATGTCACAGTAGAGACTCTAAGTTCAAATGTAATGTAAATCAGATGAAAGCTCCTACATTACTATCTCTATCCAAACATACCTCTCTGAATGTCCCTTTGGTGGTGCAGATCTTGTACACCATCCAGAGCGGGATGCAGACCATGGAGGCGAGAGCGAGCAGCCAGCCGATGGCATAGCCCCACCACGGGTACACATACACGTTGTTGTACTTCAGAGGGGTGTATTTAATGAGAGAGAAGGCAAAGGTACCCTGAAGAGACAAACAGACCAGCATTACTATTGGTGCAAAAGAGAAACATCATTTTTTCATCATAGACCTTGCTCATCTCTGATATATTTTTACAAATATATATATATGCACAAACTGTGAAGGAAAACAAATAAAAAAACGTACAATCAGGAGGACATTTTTTTTTAAATAAATGATCAAATAAATGTAATTTAAAAAAAATAGCTAAAACAGATAAGAAACCATCACAACAAAAATAATTACAAATAAAAAATAAATAAAATAGCAATTTCTAGCTAAAAACAGCTAAGACACCGTAAAAAAAACCATTAACAAATGTAATAATCATAATAATTAAAGGTTCAATATCACTTAAAGGGGACCTATTATGCAAAATGCACTTTTTGATGTCTTTTACACATAAATATGTGTCCCCGGTGTGTCAGGGAACTCACAAAGTGTCAGAAAACAAAACCCTCTCTCTTTTCCTCCGTACCCACATCTCAAAAAGAAAAAAAAGGGGGGGTGCTAACAAGCAGATCCAGAAATTTCGCTCCTATTACGTCATTGGCGACATCCGGCCGACGTGACACGTGCCAACCTATCGTCTCCGGCACACGTGACACGTCCCAACCTATCGCCCCCGTATACAGTCGCAGCTGTGTGTCTGTGTATTCAGCAGGATGTCTGCTGGAGGCTTAGAGTAAAGTTGTTATATATATATATATATAATACATGGCACTGTTCTAGCGGTAAACACTTAAGAAAGAACATGTCAAGCTATGTGCTGTATCAGAAACAATGCGCAGTGTGTTTTGGGAGTAATATGCTGTGTGTTTACATTAGCAAGCATGCTAACACTCAGAGCTAACCATGGAGCTAACGCTGTAGGCTACTGGAGAGAATATGTGAACGTAATGTCCTTGTGGTAAACCCTGCGAGAGAGAAAGGTTTGAGCTCCATACTGTTTCAGAAATAAAGCTTGAAGTGGTTAGGAGCATAACATGGCATTTAATCACCGCAGCGTACGGTTTAGCTGAGATCTCCCGGGGTAGAAATCTCTCTAGCAGGGGAAAGCTGTGTGACGCTACAAAGGGGCGTGGCTAGCAGCAGACGTTCAATTTAAAGCAGAATCAGCCTGTTTGGAACAGGGCTGCAAAAGAGGGGTATGA